AGGTCACGAATAAGATCAAGTACTTGGGGATATATTTGACAGCAAGATGCAGTACACTAAAAGAGAATAATTATATCAAACTTAAGCAGCAGATAGCGCTAGATTTGGCGAAATCGGAGAATTTACAACTGTCATTAATAGGGAGAATATCAACAATCAAGATGAATATATTACCCAGAATTTTATACTTGTTCCAAACAATTCCAGTTAGGCTTGGAAAAGATTACTTTGAAGATTTAAATAAAATTGTGTTGAAACATATATGCAAGGTAAGAAAGCGAGAATAAAGTTAAAACTTTCGCAAGATGCTAGAATAAGAGGAGGATTTGGTTTGCCTAATTGGGAGTTGTATTACCAAGCAACAAATTTGATGTGGGTTAAGGAATGGATAACATTAAGAAATACTAGATTGTTGATATGAGAAGGACGTGATCTGTTGTTGTGGTGACATGCTTTTCTATGGTATAAAGGCACTAAAACACAGGGGTATTTTAGAAGACATTATATATAGGAGTCTATAGTTAAACTGGGAGAAGACTAAAAGACAATGTTATTTGAAAATTCCAGTCTGGCTATTGACTTATTGTATAAGATGTTTTATAGGTGGCATTTTCCCCCGACAAGAATAGCAAGAATGTTCAAGAACAAATCTGAAAAATGTTGGAAATGTCATCAGACACCTGGCTCATATTACCATATGTGGTGGATTGTGCAGATGCTAAAAAATATTGGCCTAAAATCCACACGTGGTTGGAAAAAATGACAAAAAAGCATGTTGATTTGAAACCAGAGATATTTTTATTGGGAATTTTACCTGAAATATATAGTAAAGAATTGAAATACCTGATTGTAAATGTATTAACAGCGGCTAGGATTGTATTTGCTAAAAACTGGAAAAATATACCATCACAGGAAGAAATCATATACCATCACAGGAAGAAATCATTAAAAAAATATTGGAATGTGCTGAAATGAGTAGATTGACATTTGAAATCAGAGAACAAGATGATAAACAATTTTATAAAATTTGGGATCTATTCTATCAATGGTTAGACAATAAAACATGGGAATGAAATATGTAGATTCTTAGAAAATAATAAATATATAAAGATGTATTGTTTTCTTATTATATCTACAAAATGATTGTAGGATAGATTTGAGATGATAATATGAACTGTCATAAAACAAATTAAGTAAAATATGATTATTTCGTAAAACGAATGAATAAAAGTATAGTCAAATGATTGATTAACAATGATATTAATGTATTTAATACTTGATTGAAAATATGAGAATATATACAATGTAATTGTAATTGAAGACTATGAAATGGAAGCACAAAACAATTTGTAAACCAACTGGCACACTGTATGTATATATATGGAAGATGTCTTGAAGTTTTTATGTTTTGTTTGTCTATGTTCATCTTAAAAACCAATAAAAATTTAAAAAAACATACTAGGAAAACAAAACAATATAAATTTACTCATTCCCGAGGCTATTCATCAAAATCCCCACAATTTATAGTCCTTAAAATTTTCCAATTTGCACCCTCAAAATTATCCAAACTTTTAAATCCGGTTTAATTTTTCTTCTTTTGCCTCATAGAGTGTTCTATCAAATAGTATTAATAATCCAGATTGGCTCACCAGATTTCTCAAAATCTCTTTAAACCACAGAATCAAGTGCTCAGTTTCAAGGATGCTTTTTGTTAATTATAGTCCACCTTGCATTAAAAATCTTCAAAGACTCACTAAATACTTTAAAGCAACCAAAATGCCAGTTGATATGGAATTAAAAGAAAGAGACTTTCAGGTGTTGTTTGTCTTTCACTATTTCATGTCTCCTCCTGCTTATTTTTCTTCTGTTATCAATCAATCCTCACTTGCCAAGGTTTTTTCCCACCCATGTACTAGTATATCTTCTTTCACCAGTACGTGGTGCCCCCACTCTACTTCCAGCATTAAAACAAAGCAAAGATGGAACAGGAGAGAGGAAAAAAATCCTTTTTCCTTATATGATTTTTTCCAATAATCAGTGTTATCCACAAATGAAGTCAGTTTTCAGACTACTACAAGTTCCAGTCCAGACTTTCTATATTTAAAGCTTCATAGACTTCCACTAAAAGTTTGTTTCACTTTTGGATCTATAATCTTTCTTCGTGTGTTAGATTGCCGCTTTCTTAGCGTTTTGAAGTTTTAAAGTTGTCTCATTCAGTTCCAATCCTTTGCTACAATCCTCTCCGGCTCATAATCTTCTTGTCCCAGTAGTCATAGCTTTGGTCTTGCCAAAATGGCTGTCATCTCTGCTGTTGATCAAGAGGGTTTCTTTGGATCAAGCGAGGAAATTGCTGTATCCTTGCAATCTACAAAGTGTCCATCCTTTCTTCACCACCCCTCTAGGGTGGCTTTGACCCCCATAGGGTCTCCTGGCAAGCAGACATCTGCTGGGTTTTGCAGAGCTCCACGGAGCTCCGCTTTCCTATATCCGTCCTGCTGTGATGCCAACTGGTAAATATTTTCTTTACGTACTGAGGATCTCTGGGAGCTTAAGTAACAGATCCCTGCAATAAGTCTACCTTAACAGTAATTAAAAGCATTTGTTTGAATTTATGCCATGGTGGCAAGAACAAGACTTCTCTCCTCTTATTACATTCTAGAATGTTGACCATTGACCTATTCAGAGAAACACTTTAGGGAAGGATAGGTCAGAAACTCATTTACTAAGTCACTCTGAAGAATTTTTCTAGAGGAAAAAATTGTTTAGATTCTCTCACAAATAGATGTTATTTGAGCAGATCCTTTAGAGCAGGGGTGTCAAACTCAAGGCTCACGGGCCAGATCCAGCCCACGATGTGGTTGGATCAGGCCTGTGGGGCCATCCTGGTCTATCTGCATCGCTTTGGCCTGGTCTACTTGCATTGCTTCTGCCTAGTGCAGAGAGGAAAGATCAGGCCAGCGAAGCTTCGGCCCAGTGTACCTGGTGAGAAGAGGAAAGATCAGGCCAATGTAGCTTCGGTCTGGTCTTCCCAATTAGGCCAGCGTGGCTTTGGCCCAGTCTATTCAATGCAAAGAGGAAACATGCTAGCAATGTGGGGAATAGCATCAAACTGGCCATGCCTACCTACTCAGACACGTCCAGCCAGTCAGCCATGCCTCCCACCCCACCCCGAGGTCAACAACAGCCCTCATGCAGCCCTCGATGAAATTGAATTTGACACCCCTGCTATAGAGGTAACAAACTTACATCTTGCAGACTACAGGTAGTCCTTGACTTATAACAATTGAACCTAAAAGTTCTGTTGTTAAGTAAAACATTTGTTAAGTGAGTTTTGCCCCATTTTACAATCTTTCTTGCCACAGTTGTTAAGTTAGTGCATCTGGCTTCCCCATCGACTATGCTTGCCAGAAATTCACAAAAGGTGATCACATGATCCCAGGATGCTGTGATCATCATTATACTTATGAGTTTATGAGTCAGTTGCCAAGTATCTGAATTTTGATTACCTGATCATGGTGATACTGCAACAGTTATAAGTGTGAAAAATGGTCATAAGTCACTTTTTCAGGGCTGTTGTTATTTTGAAAGATCACTAAAGGAACTATTATAAGTCACCTGTAATCTGGGATGAATCTGCTAGTCCTGAGGAAGTGGACCATCTTTACAATATCAACTCTACCACATATTACCTGGATCTCTTATTCTTTCTGGTTAATAAAAACTGCTAGGGAAATAACAGGAAGCTGATTAAAGGCAGATTAAAGGTGAGAATGCATCCTTGAGTGAAGAATTGGTATTGGTGCAAGAACCGCACTGGTGCTGTGGTTAGAGTGTCATACATCTGCTGACTGCAATTGGGCAGTTCAAATCTCACCAGGCTCAAAGTTGACTCCACCTTTCATCTTTCCAAGGTCGGTAAAATGAGGACCCAGATTGTTGGGGGCAATATGTTGACTCTGTAAACTACTTAGAGCGGGCTGGAAAGCACAGTGAAGCGGTGTTTAAGTCTAAGTGCTATTGCTACTGCTACTGTTTGTCTTATTATCTAGACAATTTCAACTTGACAAGTCTTCAACCTATCTTTTGGATTAAGTTTACTATAAAAGCAACTGACTAATTTTATATTTGAGAGATAATAGGGTCATTCCTATCAACAAAGATAGAAATTGTTCAAACCCATCATTAGATTATTTATTTTATATAGGTAGTCCGTGAGTTACTAATGTAATGAGCCTGCCCATTCCATTCATAACCTGAGGATTCGTGAGAGTGAATCTCATATCTTCAACATAATCACTCCCTCCTTTCGCGCACACATTCGCTAATTGAATGCGTGGCTCATTAAGTGCCCATGAGTTATTTTAAGGTGGGAAGGCCATGGGAGGACTTATCAATGGAACAGGCCACCTGCTTAAGACTACTCAAGGCTTCCTCAACCCACTGAAATACCTCATGCTCCCCACAATTGCTTTCCCCCCTCCACCCAACCTGCCATGCCAGGTCACTTACCATGTGAAGATCTAGCAAGCTATCTCTTCTCCAGGCTCTCAGCTGCGTGTGCCTATCTGATGCTCCATTTAGGCCTGTGCAGGCTTTGCCCAGGAGTTTGCTGGCCAAAACAAATCTCCATTTAGGCCTGCGCAGGTCTTGCCGAACAGAATTGCAGGCTGAAATAGAGCTCCATTTTGACTGGCAAACTTCTGGGTAAGGCCTGCACAAGCCTAAATGGAGTATCAGAGAAGAGGGCCAATGTCAGGGGGACAGGTTTGCCCCTCTGAACCTTCATTTGGGCTGACAAAGTGCAGGACAGTTCTCTGTAGGGCAAACAATTACTATGGTGTCACAAGATTTGTAGTTTTGGGACTTCGTAAACACTAGGGGGTGCTGATAACGTAACTTCAAATATTCACTAAGGGAATGCTTGTAACCCAGGGATTACCTATAGTCACAACTTTTTGAAGTAACAGAAGCCAGAAAGAAGAAAAAAGAGTGATAAATACCTTGGATCTCTGTACAATAGATGTCCCCATGTTGCTCTTTGCTTCCTAAAAAAAAGGAGGGAAAAGGAAAATAAAAATTAATGTTCTTCTTGCATGGCAATTCTTATTTATTGATTTGAATACAAACTGCAGTTTATTTGTATTATATTTACTGATAAAAATTAGCAAGCTAGTACTTTTCTTGAACTCTTTCTTTAGTTGTTTGAATGTTGTTAATTAAACAAGAACAACAATAACGCAAAAAAAGGTTCAGAGACATTCTTCAAACAGACATTCAATGGCTTTATAAAATGTGAAAAAAAGAAATAGGGAAAAAAAACCTGTTATATCCACAAGTTACAATGTGGAAGAACATTTTCAGGTGAATCTATATAATCATATTATCTTCAAATAAATTGTTTACAAATATCTCAGCAAAATAAATAGAATGAAATAGATACAATCCCTTGTGATATATTCTGTATTGTGTTCTGATGCATCTCTTTTTGTGTGGCAGAGGATGGTCACACAAAAAGAGTTTAATCAGAATCCTATATGTCAGGGTGAGATCCCACTGCAGTACCCAGCAAGACAAATAGCTGGAGAATAGGTACCTACATTAACAATTCAAGCAGAATGTGTACCTACAATCCTTTGTCACAAGATATCTACCCAACATGATGGGGAGAAAAAGGGAGAAACAATGTATAAGACCAATCACTTGGCATACCTTGCCATACATCAAAAAGCATTTTGGAAGCTGTAGAATGCGGTTTCCAAGATCTGCAAGTGGGCATTGCACACCGCCCAGACGCTATCATAAGTGGACATATTATGCACTGTAAAGATCACTTGGAGGTGGGATGTACTTCCAATGTAAGCTACCAAATCCCCTGCATGGACTGCCCATGTGACTATGTAGGACAGACAGGGAGGAAGCTAACTGCCAGATTGCAAGAACACAAGCAAGGGGTCAGATGAGGAGACTCACTGGTAGCCTTAAATTGCAATGAAAAAGGACAGGCATTCAATTTTGCAGCTACTGAGATTGTTGGATGAGCAGGCTCATAAACAGCCAGGGAAGTGATTGAAGTTTGAGAAACAGGCCCCTTGTCAGTCAACAGGACTGCTGATTTACCACCAGTCTATCAAGTACTTAGAAGGCGAGGGCTGGGCAGCACAAACAAATGACAGCTAATGATCTAAAAGCCAGGCAGTCAGTACACTCCAATCAACGTGTAAAAAGCCACTTACAACAGGCGTTATAAATATCACATACAGAACAGCACACATTCTGCTAGAGAGAAGTTCCCTGCTGATGGGCTCTTGCATGAGTCTGAAAACTCAGAAGACAAAAACTTCTAGTCCAAGTGACCAGCCCAGATTGGATCCTGTAATTTTTTTCCTCCCAATATATTCCTCCCAATAAGAAAAGTATTTTCTTCAATAGACACTATACATTAAGCTTTCTGCCATGATGAACATGTTGTTATTTAAAGTAGCAAGAGAAGTTTGTTATCTGCATAACTAATATCATCACCCAGATAAAAGTAACATAAGTTTGCTTGGGTCACATATAAGTGCTAAGTCAAAAGTACATCAATAGCATTGCAACGTATTGCTACATGTAATCCCAGCCATTAATTATCCTGTCTGAAAAGCATGGTTTAAACAAATTATGATGGTGCAATGTACAAACAATATTATTTTCCGTTTACTCCCTATGAAGTAGCAGTAACTCGTTAATTTAAAGATACTGATTTCTGTACGTACATTAGAAGAGGCTGTACTGGACGGTCCCTTAGCTTGGAACATAATGCTATATTCTCACCCACACAGGTATATATCTTCACTTGTTTGGGCTTGCTAATTCTTCAATGTCGATATGGCTTATACCTGAGGAGAAAAGGGAAAAATTAAGTCTTCTATACTAGAATATTTCTCCCCTTTCTGAAATGTAAATTCCAGATGACCGAAACAGCGTGCACAAATACTGCACACGCTCTATTTTATTGTACATCATTTCCCTTTCAGACTGATTACAGATCAAGAGATAAAAAAACAATTCTGAGTTCAATCTCATAGATAGTAGAATTGTGTTAAAATGGTATTATTTTTAGCATATTTGCAAATATATGAACATAAACATATTTACATTATTAGTATGTAGTTTATCTATTTTAATACTTTCATTAATCAATATATTTTACAATATATTTCAACTATTCTTGAAATAGTAGCTATCAATATAACTTAATAATCAATATTACTTAACAAAATAAATTAATGTACCTATATTCTTTAAATCTCTAATATGTGAGATATGTATGTATGCAGGGGCGGGGGAGTTGTATGTGTGTAATTAGAAAGATTCACATTTTCCCCTAAAGATCAGAGTTGAAGAAGCTTCTTGAATGAGAAGCAAAACATCTTCGAAGAAAACAAGAAAGTCCAGTTGCCCCTTGAAAAGGCACCTTTGAGACAACAATGACCAGGATGACCAAGAACCTCCATAAACAATTATCCCCTAAGCTTTCCTTCTTTCAGCCCAGAAAAACAAAATGATTGGATTCTCCTACCCAGTTTCAGTTTGTTTGTGTCTTCACTGCCATTTGAATCTCTCCTGTTCATGTACATTTACAGTTGCTAGAACATTCGTGCCTCTTGGTTCTGCAAAGCCTGTGTGCTTCTTAAGAAATGAACCTGATTCATTTCCCTTCCGTTCCGTTTGTGGTTAGCTTGTTATTTCCTGCTTTCTCCATTTAAGGACATGCCAGGTACCCATAAGAGGGTTAAAATTTTCAGTTTAGATACTAGAACCATATAAGCAAAGGGCAAAAAGTCCTCCCCAATTTGACATGCCTGAATTCACACCAAGGCAGCCACTGCAAGTTATTTGGCCACTGACACTACCATTAAAAAAAACTATTTTGAAAATTGACAGTGCATCAAGAATTAGGCCTTCTAAAATAGGGCAAAATAATAATTTTGTTTTAAACAATCACTTGAGGTCTGCTAGAGAAGTGTATTGGGAAGTTGAAATGATTTGATGCTACTTTGTCCTTGTTTTGAGTCCAGATGTCAAATTTGTCCCCATTAATTCTTTTGTGCAAAGTTTGTCGTAGTACAATGTAGAACAAAGTTTGTCCAACATAGAATCCAGAAATGTGCTGCTTGCAACTGATTTATATCACCTTGGACAAAAAGCATTTAAAGGTCTTTCTAATCTTGTATATATTTTTGTTGGGATGTATGATGGTGCTCTTGGTGTAGATATGGGGCAAAACAAGGACACATTAGTATAAAGCAATCCTGTCTTCCAATATGTTGTATATAATGAATCTCAACATACTGTTTTGGAAAAACTAGACTTCATGTCCATTGTTGAACAAGAAATTGCTAAACTCAAACAACAACTCAAATCCACAATCAGTTTTTAACCCATTATAATTGTTGATTGACAAGAGATTGCATAACCAACTTGTCTTTCCCTCCTTTCTCTCTCCATCTCATCCCAATTTAACTCCTATATCAGTTCAATTACTTTATTCATCTGATGAAGTACAGTGCAGCTCACAAAAGCTTATGTCTTTTATTAAAATATATTAGTTTAAAAAGGTGCTGACCAACTCCTTCTAATATCAGAAAGGTGTATGTCAGCACATTATCAATAAACAAACAAACCACACATTCAGACATGGCAGAGAGGCAAGAAAACTGAGGTAAGAGTGGGAAAGGAGTCATAAAACAATTAAAGAATACAGTACAACAAGCAGGCACTGGTTCTAAACTCACCTCTGTTGCTTTATTATATTAAAAAGGTACATTTATTTATTACATTTATATGTTGTCCATCTCTCTACCCAAAAACAATTAGTATTATATATTTTGGATACCAAGGGCTTCTTTCACTAAATCTAACTAAATTCTACTTTAACCATAACTAGGATAAAGGTAGAAAGATACAGAAATACTGGTCAAAATCCAGGCATACTATATTGTTAGCACAACAGATATTAATGGATGAATACAATTTGGTTCTACATATATAGGAAAGGGAATTCAATAAAAATCAAATACATTTTGAATTTAGTATTTTGTTTAACATATTAGATGTTGAGACTCTAGAGAAGAGCAACAAAGATGAATAGAGAATTGGAAGCTAAGAATAGTGGCAGGAACTGGACATGCTTAATGAAATGAAGGACTAGGAGAGACATGATAGCAGTGTTACAATATCTCAGGGGTTGCCACAAAGAAGTGGGAGTCAAGCTATTCTCCAAAGCACCTGAGGGCAGGACAAGAAACAATGGGTGGAAACTAATCAAGGAGAGAAGCAACTTAGAACTAAGGAGAAATTTCCTGACAGTTGGAACAATTTACCAGCAGAATAAGTTGCCTCCAGAAGTTGTGCATGTTCCAACACTGGAGGCTTTTAAGAAGAGATTGAGCTTTGTCTGATTTGTCTGATGTTATAAGGTTTCCTGCTTGAGCAGGGGTTGGACTAGAAGACCTCCAAAGTCCCTTAAATACAGATGTTAAATACAGATGTAGTAATTTTACAAAAATGCTAGTAAATTTATATTGGCCACTTTTAGAAACACATACTATAAACTATCTGTGTTTACCTCCATAGGCTACTGTTTTTACCTCATCACTCAAATATCTCTGTCAGCACCCTTATTATGCCATTACTTCCCTCAGTGGAGTAATAAGAGCTATCCCATAGGATTCTAGGCTTATTCTCATTGTCCTGGGGAATGGGTAATTGAGAAGTCCAGTGGTGAAATGAACTGGATTAGTTGCCGTAACATTTTTCTTCGTATGGAGTTATAACAAATGATGACAGCAGTTGTGTCTAAGTGCCTCTGGAGGGCCTGGATTGTATATTCTCATTTTATGTTGAGTTTCTCAACTAATGATAAAAACACAAAACCTGATGTTAATGTAGAGAAGATTTAAACTTAGAATAACATTATTTCACTTTGAATATACACTGCTCAAAAAAATAAAAGGAACACTTAAACAACACAATGTAACTCCAAGTCAATCACACTTCTGTGAAATCAAACTGTCCACTTAGGTAGCAACACTGATTGACAATCAATTTCACATGCTGTTGTGCAAATGGAATAGACAACAGGTGGAAAGCATAGGCAGTTAGCAAGACATCCCCAAGAAAGGAGTGGTTCTGCAGGTGGTGACCACAGACCATTTCTCAGTTCCTATGCTTTCTGGCTGATGATTTGGTCACTTTTGAATGCTGGCGGTGTTTTCACTCTAGTGGTAGCATGAGACGGAGTCTACAACCCACACAAGTGGCTCAGGTAGTGCAGCTCATCCAGGATGGCACACCAACGCGAGCTGTGGCAAGAAGGTTTGTTGTGTCTGTCAGCATAGTGTCCAGAGCATGAAGGCACTACTAGGAAACAGGCCAGTACATCAGGAGACATCGAGGAGGCTGTAGGAGGGCAACAACCCAGCATCAGGACCTCTACCTCTGCCTTTGTGCAAGGAGGGATAGGAGGAGCACTGCCAGAGCCCTGCAAAATGACCTCCAGAGGGCCACAAATGTGCATATGGCTGCTCAAACGGTCAGAAAAGAGACTCCATGAGGGTGGTATGAGGGCCTGACGTCCACAGGTGGGGTTTGTGCTTACAGCCCAACCGTGCAGGACATTTGGCATTTGCCAGAGAAAACCAAGATTGGCAAATTCACCACTGGCGCCCTGTGCTCTTTACAGATGAAAGCAGGTTCACACTGAGCACATGTGACAGACGTGACAGGGTCTGGAGATGCCGTGGAGAACGTTCTGCTGCCTGAAACATCCTCCAGCATGACCAGTTTGGCAGTGGGTCACTCATGGTGTGGGGTGGCATTTCTTTAGGGGGCCGCACAGCCCTCCGTGCTCGCCAGAGGTAGCCTGACTGCCATTAGGTACCGAGATGAGATCCTCAGACCCCTTGTGAGACCATATGCTGGTGCAGTTGGCCCTGGGTTCCTCCTAATGCAAGACAATGCTAGACCTCATGTGGCTGGAGTGTGTCAGCAGTTCTTGCAAGACAAAGGCATTGAAGCTATGGACTGGCCCACCCATTCCCCAGACCTGAATCCAATTGAGCACATCTGGGACATCATGTCTTACTCTATCCATCAATGCCATGTTGCACCACAGACTGTCCAGGAGTTGGGGGATGCTTTAGTCCAGGTATGGGAGGAGATCCCTCAGGAGACCATCCGCCACCTCATCGGGAGCATGCCCAGGCATTGTAGAGAGGTCATACAGGCATGTGGAGGCCACACACACTCCTGAGCCTCATTTTGACTTGTTTTAAGGACATTACATCAAAGTTGGATCAGCCTGTAGTGTTTTTTTCCACTTTAATTTTGAGTGTAACTCCAAATCCAGACCTCCATGGGCTGCTAAATTTGATATCCATTGATAATTTTTATGTGAGTTTGTTGTCAGCACATTCAACTATGTAATGAACAAAGTATTTAATAAGAATATTTCATTCATTCATATCTAGGATGTCTTATTTTTGTGTTCCCTTTATTTTTTTGAGCAGTGTACATATTCTGTATCCTGTACAGATGCAGATAGATAACTCCACAAAATATCCATAACAAAGTACTTTTATTGGTTCATCAGGTATCCTCATAACTCGCATTTGTGATGAAGTTCTTCTTTAATGACCAATCCTTTGCATATCTGTCTTGTGGGTTTATGATTTATCTTCTATCCTTTTTCCCTCATGTTGTAGCGATAGAAGAGTTACCACGAGTCCATGAGTTCAGCCAAGAGTAAGGAAAACCTCCCCCAACCCCTCAAGGGTCAATTTAGTGACCAATCAGGATTACAGATGTGGTCACATGATATGGACTACATTTTCCA